TGCATGCAGTGGCATAACTCATGTTCCCTTTGGCCCTTTGATGAAGAACCGGGCCTGGCCGAGAGTTTGAAGTCCATATGGCCCATGACTATTATTGGAGACGTGGGAAGGAAAGATAGAATTAGGGATTTTGACTTTTATTATTATTATTATTTGATTTTAGGATTTTATTTATGGTAATAGTTTGATTAGGGTTTTTCTTCGATCCTATATAAGGTTGGTTAAGACATTGTGAAAGACAGCTTTTGATGATTATTATTGATATTGAATTTTGAGATTATCGTGATTTCTTCTCCCTGTGTATTCTTCTTCTCTTTTGATTCCTCTTCCCTCTATTCTTCTTACCTTTCTCGCTCAATCTCTTTATGATTCTACTTGAATTCTGATTTCGAATCACCCCTACCCTCTGCTGCATCAATTGGTATCAGAGCAAAAGATTCAAAGCTCAGCCATCATCATCTTTTTTAGCAAAGGAAAAAAAATAATAATAATTCAGCAATAATCATTGTTAACCCGATTGTTCACACACACAGTACACCCACTGTTTGTTCATCGTCTTCTGTCATCCACCCAAAATATCTCTATCCGCTGCCACCAAAACCCCACCACAATCCATCCATCCGTCTGCCCTAAACCAGCCCCTGTTCATTTTGTTCTTCACCCACTCTAGTGAAAACCATCACAGTTAATCTTTCCGGAGTTTTCTTGTCGCCACCATCACCATTGTTACATCTCTTGCTGTCAGCCAGCCCATTGCCAAACAGTCTCACCAGAGTTTCTTTTTGATCATCGCTGCCAATCACAACTTCACAACTTCAGCCGAGAATTCAGTATTTGATTTTGGGAAGTCGAATTTAATTCAGCGTCATTTTCGCGATTTTGGAAAGTCAGCTTTGGATTATCGCTTTGGAAAGATCAGGCTTGGGAAATCAGAACTGATTTGGAAAGGATATATTTTGGTTTTCTTTTATATCAGATTTGACCAAACTCAAATTTAAATTAAAGTGAGATATAATCAGGCCCAGGAAGCAGTGATCCAGATCCATCTGGCCCAACTCAAGTTGGCCCAGCTTCAAATTACTACTATATGCGCCTCGCCAGATCAAAATCAGCCCAGCTTCGGAACAGGCCCAGCCCAACAGTGATCCAGTATTAAAAATAAAAATAAACAATTCAGCCAAGTTCAATACTAGGTCAGAGCCCAGATATATATTTCAGCTCAGCCCTGTTTGGTTACAGATTTAGAACTATTCAAGTTAATTTCTGAAACCAGTCCAGGTTTAAACCAGTTCTGCAGTTGGCCAGTTCAGGAGAAAAAATAAAATAAAATAAAATAAAATATAAAATATAAAATAAAAACAGAAGAAGAAAGGAAACAGAAACAGAATTTCTATTACAGTTCTTCAGCCACATCTTCAACACTTGGGAGCATTCAATTGGGAGCTACAGAGGACTTCGGAAAAGGTAAACATACTTCAATTAAAATTGTTATTAGTACTTTTATCCAATTGATTAATTAGAAATTGCAAAAAGATCCTAATTGAACCCATTTGATTTGATTCTTCCAACAGATTATTTACTTCAATTTTTTTTTTTATTTTTGTTCCCACTATTATCCAAAAAAAAAAATTTATTTTTATTCACTATTTTAAATACTCACACTAGTGCATGACTTCTAGCTAATCGATTTCTTTGCATTCAGATTTCTTAGTTGTGCATTGTTCTAGTTTATAATTTAGTTTACTTAATTCAATTTGAGTTCTATATCGGCTATATTCTTAACCATTCTTATGCTGATGCCATCCTCTTGAGATCATCGTGTTTGGCCGTGACATGTCTTATTCACAATCTGCACTGAAACGAAGAAATCATGATGCATTTGTTAATAGGCACCCAAATGAGTAAGTCAGGGAAGAGAGATTTGTTTCCCCAAGAGTTAGGCAGAACATTATAAATGATCGCCACCATTATTATAACGAGTTCACATGCCAATACTGTGACACTTCTGATTATGATGAGTCCATATGCTACTGTTGTGATGCTTTTGATAGTTCAAAATCATATTCCACCACAAAAATTCTAGTTGACAAACCCTATCGATTCTTAGAGTGTGGAAATCCACCCGAGTATCCACCTGACCTAGATGATAGTGGATTGTTTCCAGACCTTGGGGGAAATCATATGGAAGATGAGACTTGTGATAATGACATGATGTGCATCCCATCTATTCTTATGGGAAAAGATGATTGGACGCGCACCGACATCTTTCGTACATATCTTAGATTTGGAGAGAGTTTACAAACTAATCATAAATGGAGAATGTTCAATAAATGCAGTGTCAAAATCAGGTGTCGCTAGAATGAAACTTAAATCTGAACCTCATCCACAACCATATAAGATGTTCTGGGTTGATGGAACTTTCTTGACTGTCACGGAAAGGTGTTTAGTTCCTATTCAAATGGGAGTTTATTTTGATGACATTTGGTGTGATGTTTTACCTTTGACTGCAGCCCATGTGCTACTTGGTCTCCCTTGGATTTGTGACTTGAATGTGACTCACCATAGCAAGGAGAATCGTTACCGATTCAAATATAATGGCAAAACTCTCATGTTAAGGCCTGCAAAGCGACCAGAAAAGGATTCTAAGACACTACAAATTTCTTCTTCTCAGCCTAATGACCACAAACCTGTGTTGGCAGAAGAAGAAAAAGTGACTAATGATGTTCCCCATGTCACGTATGAGAAGGTGTTGGATTCTCCACCCCTTAAATGTGTTAATGAAATTAAAAATGGAACAATTGAGGAACCTCAAACTAAATTGCCACACATGAATGTCGAGCAACACACCATTGCCTTAGCCCCAGGATCATATTCATTTGATGTCCTATATAACCATACACATCCTAGGGAAAATGTTGAACTGAATGGACCAAATGATGAATTTGCACAAAATAAGGTCACTCAAGATTGTCTTGAAGAGATGATTAAATTTCATGAGTCATCCACCTCCATTGTGTCAAACAAGGATGTCAAGTATAATAGTAATTTCTGGAAGACACTTTGGACGTTCTTAGGAACAAATTTGAAGTTTCCTTTTGCATCTTGTCCTTTGAATGATAGTAAAATTGAGGTTGTGAGTCAAGGTCTAGGAAAGATGGTTAGTTTTATTATTAGCATGCACCTAGACACTTGGAACTTGTTTTTACCTATCACAGATTATATTTATACAAGTGTGACTAATCAAAGTACTGGTAGTTGTCCTTTGGAGATTATCTACAGTTCATTACCATGCCAGTCCATTGAATATTGTCATCCACTTCCATGTATGTATTCACTTGAGTTTGCTGATTCCTTCGTTCAGCTTGTTCATGATTTTTATGCCGATATGCGACAAGAAATTGTCTTGAGTAAAAAGAATTATGAACTCATTGCATATGCTCATCATAGGAATCATGAATTTAATGAAGGAGATTATGCTACAATATGTGCACTACCTCAACCTTATCCTAAAAACTCCTTCCAAATAAAACATGAAAAAATTGTCAGAATTTTCCACATCATTCAGAAATCAAGACCTAATGCATATATCTTTGACTGGTCATTGGATCTTAGTACTAATTCAATTTTTGATGTGGAGTATTTGTTATCTGACCGAGGCACCTTTGAGCCTCCTATTTTATTGGCATGTGTTCCTACAGGTGGATTTACATTTTCCTAAGCACCGGCATTAGTTCATCTATCTTTTCAGCCGCAATATATGGATTAGACAAAGGATATTGTGATTATCAGAGTGATGGCCCTCATTTTGGAGATATTGAGTATTACCTTGTTCAATGGAAGGGTTTTCCACTTTTAAATACCAGACAGAGAATTGACCCATACTTTTTGGAGATATACTTATGCATTTACTCTCCGGAGGAGAGTTCTTCTCAACCCGGAGGGAATGATGAAGAATCGGGCCTGGCCTGAGAGCTTGAAGTCCAGATGGCCCATGCCTATTATTGGAGACGTGGGAAGGAAAAAGAATTAGGGATTTTGACTTTTATTACTATTATTATTTGATTTTAGGATTTTTATTTATGGTAATAGTTTGATTAGGGTTTTTCTTCGATCCCTATATAAGGTTGGTTAAGACATTGTGAAAGAAAGCTTTTGATGATTATTATTGATATTGAATTTTGAGATTATCGTGATTTCTCCTCCCTCTGAATTCTTCTTCTCTTCTGATTCCTCTTCCCTCCATTCTTCTTACCTTTCTCTCTCAATCTCTTTCTGATCCTACTTGAATTCCGATTTCGAATTGCCCCTACCCGCTGCTGCATCACCCCTCTATTAACATAAATGAATCATCTTAAACAACAAAGGAAGATTCTTTAATCCAAAATGGTTCAACAATGATGATGGGGCTCAATGAAAAAATAAGCATTATCTGCCAGATTTGGAAGTGAAATATAAATTATGATAATGAGACAGTAATAAACAGAAATGCATCCGTTAAATATCATGCTGGTGACAAGAAGAAACATACAAAAGCATTCACCTTTCAACATTAGTTACTATACCCCACACTCACAAAAGAGATGAAGATCATATCGTGCTGGTGACAAGATGCAGCATACAAAAGTATTCACCTTTTCAACATCAGTTACTATACACTAAACTCATATAAAAATAAAAAATAAAAAAGAGAGGAGGAGGAGGAGGAGGAGAAAAAGAAGACACTCATACAAAAGAAGGTAAAAGAACATTTCACAAACAATATGCAACTTGGAAATCCAACATCATTTCACAAACAATTTACCATTAAGAAGGTAAAAGAACCTGTAATGAAACTATGAGAAAAAAAAATTGGTAGGAAATATGGAGAATAACCAACTAATAAGAATGAATTGCCACAATCAAAGAACTAAAAGGTGGTAGTGTAACATTAAATACGCAAAAGCGGGCACAAAAAACAATAGATATAATATTTAGAAAGAAATAAATGATCTATAGTGCACCTGAGAGAAGTTGACAATGACAGGAAGAATATGTGCAACACAATCCTGGGGCTCCAGCAACTTGCCAAGAGCAGCACAGCCCTCAACCGCTAATAACCGAACAGAATCCTGATCTAGAATGGAGAAAAATTACCACCCCTTACTTAGCAGACCAAAGACAAAAAAATGTACGGAAAATATTGGCAAAAAACTAAGAATTTTTTTTTTTTTTATTATCATCCTAAAACATATTGTATTCCATTTTTAAAGGAAATGAAGAAAGGTGATTGCCCCACTATATAAACATGTTCTTTACCTAAAATAAAAATCAATTGTTTGCAAGTCAACAGCCATCTCAATCATAAATAATTTTCCTTTAGAACACCATATAATAACAACACAGCTGCTAATTACTCTCAAGAAAATATAAATAAATAAATAAATAAAAAGGTACTTTGGCTGCACATATTGGCATATTGCTCAACTATAATGATTTTTTAAGCTTGTTATGATAGAGTAAATCAGTCAGGAGCTTTTCAGGATTTATGGCAATAGAAACCAGTTCCTCTATTCTCTACTAGTTTCTAAAGGTTATCCAAGTACTTTTGGAAGCAAAGTCGAAGTCATTAGTTACAACAATTCCAATATTCCCGGCTGGAAGCTTACTGATCCGCTTGAAAGAAGGCAATTCTAGACATCTTTCATCATTTATTCTCTATTAGTTTCTAAAGGTTATCAAAGTGCACTTTCGGAAGCAAGGTCGAAGTCATCAGCTATGACTATTTTGCTTAGAACACCCATTCCACTGTTCCCATTAATCTTTCATCATCTATTCTGTATTGTACCTTTCGTTTATTCTCTATTCTGATTACGTATTAAAGTTGATAATTAATAAACCTTCCCATTTCTTTTGAGTTGGGAGAGGTTTGAATTATTAATAACACGCTTTATGTTTTTATCAGCTAGCTTAGTGCCAATTCACCCACAAACAGATTCAGGACAACCAGCATTAGGACACTAATATCACTAGAAATTCACGCCATAAAATGGACCATCGATACACATAACAAAGGCATACATTTTTAAAGAAATAATTACAGAACACAGAGTCATTAATGCCATTGCTCAGGCTTCATTACTAATAACATGCTTTATTTTATTTTTTATCTCAAGGTAGCTTAGTGCCAATTCACTCACCAACAGATCCAGGACAACCAGCATTAAAACACTAATATCACTTGAGATTCACGTCAGAAAATGGGCCATCCATACCGATTACACTAGTATGAAGTGGAGCCAACAATTTTATTATAAAAAGCATAAAGCGTACTCATTAACATCTTGGAGCTTGTGAGTTATGGATTCATGCAAACAATATGTAAACACGTACATAAACATGTGTAAATATATCTCGATAAGTAAAATGCAGGTTTATGTGTTCACACAGCTTGTGAAATTGGCAACGTTCCTTGTGCTCAAACTTTGCCATCCAAGCTAGTAGAGCGTCTTTTCACCCAGAACTATTCCTTCCTCCATACCATTACCATATACTCCTGGCTCCTCAACCATAATATATATATATATATATATATATATACACATATTATAATATTCTGTAATTTGCTAACCTATTATAATTTATGTTAATTTATAAGGGACCTAATTTATTGCATCTACCACTGACTTACTCTTCAAATCAATAAATGTTCTAAGAAGATCAAAGAATAATAATTATTTTTACTACTAATAGAAGGAAACACCATAAGTAAAGCTAGCCCGATTGGTCGTTCTACTAACCAATCCATGCACCCTGTTAAATGTTTTTGCAACAATTACTTAAAACTTATGACTCATGAAAACCAATATTGATTCATTTACCATCTTGAGTAAGGTCTTCAAATATTGACATGATGTCAGTCTTGAGATGAGCAGGTTCAATAGTTGCAGCAAACTTCCCCAAGTTGGTTGCAGCAGACCTCCTTACCATGGGCATGTCATCTTGACATAGCTGGCTGTAAATTGACCGCAATTCCGTCTTTAACATATCTGGGGCACTAGGGTAAGCAATATGAAACAGTCCACAAGAGGAAACTCGAGCAGTAAACCATTCACCAGCTGCTAGTCTCTATAGGAGGAAAACTAAAACTTGTAAGAAAAGAAGAGAAAAAAGGGCAAAAATGATAATGACAAGATCATGAATTAATAACAAAAGCATACTAGAAAGTACAAACAATTAAATAAGTGATAAAGGAAAACTATATACAAATGTGAAGCGACAACTTTGTTTAGAAGTAAATGAAATAGGAGGACAACTCGAGGAATAAGATGCAAAATTCAAGTTACTCCAAATCTACTTTTTGAGTTAATATTTCAAACCCAAATAATACCGACCGGCAATTTAGCATAAAAAAACAACCATCTCCTATGTGGAGGAAGAATATGTCCCTATGTATGAGCTTGACAATTTATCATGGTGGCACAGTTCAAAAAATACAGCAGCTCCAAGTGTACACATAATTACATAAACAAATAAAGAACTGTTATATGTACGGGAAAGATGCATAATAATAGGAAGGAACAGCACAAACAAATTCAAATTAATAGGAAAAAAAACATCTAACCTTCACAAGAGGAATAAACCAATCAACCAAATCACTCTCCCTCATCTGGGATCCAATTCTACACAATGACTCAACTGCTTTGTCCCTCACACAAGTTTCCTCCACCGTGCAAAGGGTTTCAAGAGGCAGAAGCAACACATGAGCATGTTCCACTCCACCAACATAAGGAATAAAGACACCCAACTCTTCTGCCATTGCAAGAAGCACCTCATCATCATCGTCATTGTTTTCACTCAGAAATGGAATTAATTCCTTCCGGGTACGGTCCTCCCCGAGAGCACGTGCAATTGTTGATAGTCTCCGAATAGAATTCAACCGCAATTGAATGTCATCATTCTTCAGCTCATCTATTAGAACAGCTATTGGGTACAGCGGCTCATCAACCACCGACATTGTGTCTCACAACTTTCAACAATTAACAAAAAAGAGTAAGCTCGTGCAATATTGTTGATCATTATAACAAATTCAATTGATATAAAAAATTTACAACTCTAGGAAAGAAACCAAAGAACACTGAATAATTTGGAGATCACACAAATATCACATGGACATACTCCAAAACGACAGTAAATGTTGAATTCGACAAACAAAAAAATATCGATCCAATAAAATATGCCGATGATAGAGCACATATAAATGTATTGCCACATATTGATTGAGATTTGAAAGAAGAAAAAGAAAAAAAAGAAAGAAAAAAGGGATGGATAAGATCTTCATGACTAACTAGAAAAAAAAAAAAAAAAAAATCAATTCAAAAATTGAATTTAGTGCGATTTGAGATTCCTGTGTTCTCTGACTGACCAAATTGTAGATCTGGAAGAAAACCTACAATTTAAATCCTAGGGTTCCAACATTATTTCCATCGAAAACCTATAATTAAATCCTAGAGGTTCAACATTATTTCATCGTAAATACACTGAATGATGTCTAAACTTGCATCATGAAAACAAATCAATGGAAGTGATATTTAGAAATATTTATATACATACATTTTGAGAGATAGAGAGAGAGGGAGAGGAGAGAGAAAACTGTACTTCGTCTTACACCTAGTAATGGTTTCCCGCCGGCTTCTTCTGATTCGAAGCTCTGTTCCTTCGTCCACTGAGGCAAACACAGAGAGGGGGAGAGATTTATTTTGATATTATTTCTATATATAGAGAGAGAGACTGGGCTTAGAAAGGTTTTTGGGCCAGTAGGCTTCATTTAGGGATGGAAATAATGAGGGACTCGGATCCTCCACTTGTTACCGTGGCCCGGCCCAAGGACAGCAACTTCAGTGGGCTCAATCCAACCCAATTTGAACTCAACCCAATCTTCTTTTGTTTAGTTTCTTTACACTTGGGTCTAGTTTGGTAAATGGTTTTCATTCTTTGCTTAGAATGAAAATTCATTACGAAGAATGAAAACTTATTCCACATCTAACACGATGGAATAAAATTCTTGGCCACCACCATTGTCATCACTTTCTATCACCACCACAACCAGGGGTGGAGCCAGTGTATGCTCAGGAGGGCACGTGCCCTTGTGGCCTAACCCTACTTACTATAATACATATATTAAATTTATATATTTTTACACGTATATATGAAAAAATTCATATAATGCCCCTCCTAAAATTTTTATTTTTTAAAATTATTTCTTAAATTTTGTATTTCTTCTGTTTTTGTTTAATTTTCTTTTTAAAAAAAAGTCAAATTTTTCTTTTTAAATCAAACTCCAATTTTTTTTCCTTTCAAAATTCTTTCATTTTTCTTCCATTTTTAAATTTTTTGTTAACTATTTATCTTTCTTAAATTACTCACTGATTGACATATTATTTTGAGTAATTTTTCTTCCTTATTTTTTGATTTATGAAATCTATATTTATTATCGTGATTATTGATTTTTTTTTTTTTTTTACATTGCGCCCCCTGAATTTAATTTCTGGCTCCGCCCTTGACCACAACCACCACCTTCCGTCATCGCCCTCCATCACGTCATCTTTGCCATCCCCGCCACCATTGCTTTCTGCCATCACCACCTTCCGCTACCGTTTTCCACAGCCACCGCCTTCCACCCACCACCACCACTACCTTTCACCACTTCTACAGCCATTGTCTTCCACTACACTAAGAATAATGATTATCATTTCATTCTTACCTAAATTCATATTTACAACCAAACAATATAATAAGAATGATTATTCTATTTCATTTTCAATTTCATTACTACGTACCAAACTAGACCTTCAGGTTGGAGTTGGTCGAATGCCTAGCCTTAATTTTAGTTTGTCTTAGCAAAAAAGTTGAGCAACAAACTCTCTGCATCTTATTCCTATACCCACTCCACTCTATATTTGGTAAGAGTTTTTAGTTTCAAAAAATATTTCTATACACTTGACCTGATCAACTCACATCTCAGGTTAGGCTCCTTCGATTATAAGTCAGGTGGGATCTTAGATTCTATCAAAAAAAAATTAATATTTGAATTGGAGTTAATATTAGAATCTCTTAGTAACTTAATGTTAGACGTTAATACTTTGAAGTTCAATTTGATGTATTGATTCTTAATTTATTGTGTTGCCTAATATATCCAAAATAATAGTATTAGGCAACTCATTAAATTGAGATTCAACTTTAATGAGATTCAACACAATTATTTAATGCGTTATTATATGAATTATAGCACTCCAAATTAAGTAAACATAGTTGAGTTGAGCTTTGTAAGGTATTGAGTTGAGCTTTGAAAAGTATTAATATATAGAAGCGTTAATGCTTGTGTCTTATATTTGGAGTTTTGGACCAATGGGTGATGACTAATGGATCACAGTTTTTTACTTTTAGTTAAATTACACTCATAACCCTAAGGTTTAACCTTTTACCCTTTATATAAAGCACAGTAAATGGCCTTTTTACCCTTTATATAAAATGCATTTCGTTCTCTCTAACTTATTTTGAGAACCAAGGTCTCGTTCTCTCTTACTAGTTAATATAATGTTTTTTGTTTTATAATTCTCGTCGTTAGGAATTAATTTATCCATAAATCGGCACAACCGAAGTAAGATACAAACAAAATATAGATTCCAACACCCAAACAACAATATAAATACAATATTTAACATGGTTCAGTCCCACCTGTCCTATATGTCCCATATAACCAACTCAATTTGAGCTACTTATAAATTTTAGTCAATTTATACACACACTTTTTCATAATTTTTAACCTACAAAATAATAATAATAATAAAATAAAAATTTTCATTGTTCTTCAAGTAGGAATGACAATTCATGTTGGCGTGTTCTGTTCGTGTCGACACGAACACAACACGATTATTAATTATGTATAAAATCTTCGATATGAACATGACACGACACGCGTAACCTGTTTAATAAATGAAACAAAACCTCACGCCACACAAAAAGACACCTTTAACTTCAAGACACCATTTAAATTCATAGGAACTTAAATATGTCATAACCCTCATTGACTTGAAGCTAGCTAACCTCTAGGAAATTAGCCAGCTACTATAATCTCTTTCCTTTTTAAGTGATTTCGAACTCTATGAACATTTATAAGTAAGTGTATATTTACTAAACTGGAAAAAAAAAAAAAAAAAATCAGATATTCACAATTTTCTTCTATTCCACAATGTTGTTGTTATATTAGTCTGGAAAGCTGTTAGAAGAATAGATCAGCAAACTGCTTTTTATTTATTTTTTTTTATTTTATTAACTACTAATAGGAATGGACATTTGGTGCTCAAGAGATCAGAACATTTGTTAAAAATGAAATCTAGAATCCTAAACAGATAAAACACATTACTCCTATAGGCATGGACATTTGGCTCCAAAATTTACATAAAATGACTTCTTCAAGATATCAATTTTTGAACCTGAAGAACCTAATGAGTTTAGTCCAAAACACAACCCTCTTTACCTCAGCCACTGGATTGACAGTGGGATCCTTAAACCGCGCTTTTTCGCTCAGTTCTTGAAAAGAATCAACCACATTTTGCAGCCTCGCAACAAATTCAATCAGAAGTGAAGCGAATGTGGCCAACGACAAGGCACTTGCACTTTGATATGTTCTGATTTCATCATCCTTAATGACTGCATCCCCGGTGAGTGACAGACGCGAAGGCCACGGAATGATTTGCTTCCTGAACATATCGTCTGAGGAGCCATTTGCTGATCTCAGGTCAAGAACAGCTTCACTGAGGGACTTAAAGCCTAATTGGAAATTTTTTTCGTCGTGAGAATTCTCGGGATCTTTCAGTTCATTGTGTCTGCTTCCAATTTCCCAGCTCTCTGAATTGACTAGAAGGTATGATTTATTGTCTATCTTCTTTTGCAGCTGCTCTGCTGCCTCGTGCACTTCCTTGAGAATGTTTCCGGGGCTCAGTTTCTCCATTTTCTCTACTCTGTTTGCAAGCTCCCGCAAGACTTTAGCACCCTCTGCACCAACCCTCTGCAGCTCACTACGAAAGACGAGTCTCCTTTCTGCCGGGGCCTGCAGATACAGATCCGAAACCCTATAATGTTTTGTGTCCGTATCATTCAAGTGAATATGGATCATACAATTTCAGCCTCCCATTGGTGAGGACTTAAATCACAGAATGAAAATTAATTTTGTACACAAACGAATTTCATACTTGTACACCATAATACTTCTCCCTTATCCTAAGTTCCTAGGAAAATATGAATTTCCATACTTTTAGACCATTATATTTCGTGAACAGAACATACATATTCAACATTAAGGTTTTGAACGCATTATGAATTGCATCAACCTCCTTAAAGCATTTCAAGTGACATTAAAAGTACTATATACAAAGAACTGTGTATATTGTATAACACATGAAAAAAAATACTTTTATGAATTTTATTTCTTCATATCACTTAATTTAAGCTTTAAATTTGAATAAAACGACTAGGGATAAAAAAATGCCTTAAGGGCAATATGAACACAATGCTCACAATGTAAATGAAATCTGCTGATTTCTGTCATAGCTAGCTAGGTATTAGTGTATAATTGTGTGTGTATGTGTATATAGAAAAGCTTTCAAAACTGTCAAAAGGGTAAAATATTTAATCAAATATCCAGTATATATATATATTGACCTGTATTTCTGATAGAATGCATCCATGCAGCGCCATGACCATGAATGCGCAATGCCTCAACGCGCCACTCACTTTGACATAGTTTCTCCAAGGATAGTTGAACATTTTGTAACAGCCATGAGGTGGTTCCCAGATAGCAAATCCCAACTGTTCAAACAACAATAAGTATAATTCAACAATTGCTGTATTTCTTGTCTGATGAACAGAATTTTTGGTACCAAATATATATATTATATTACAAGCATACCAAAGTTGCCTCACGACTAGTAGATTCCACGGCTGACCTGTAGCCCTTGTACAGGGGATCATCAAATGCTTGGTAAGTGAGAATTTTTGAAGGGATTCTCTCATATTCAACATATTCCAGGTACCGAGAAACACAGCCTAGTCAAATCCGAAAATCGATCAGGAACATAACAATACAAAATACAAAATACAAAATAAAAACATGACTAATTAAACAGACCTTCCAAAGAAGTTGCAACATCCCTGAAATTTGTTACCACCAATCGGTGCAGATCCTCGCCTGCCCAAATGGGGTAAATGCATATATTTACCGCCAAAGTCACACCGGCTCCAACTGCAATAAGCACTAATCGAGTGACAATGGCGTCGGTGTAATCTCCATTCCTATTCCCAGCTACCATGAGGATACAGTATGTCAGTATGAATACTCGAAAACCATACTCGTATGGGCTCATTGTTGGGTAGAGTTTCAAATAGGCTGAACAAGAAGCTGCAGCCACACAATTAAGCATCATATATTAGTAATTACCATATATAACTGGCCGGAAGCCTTTTTCCTACTATTTGAGGTCGGCTACATGAATACTATGTTTCCATTCCGTTCTCTCTAAGGCCATTACCTCAGTTAAGCACAACGTACATTGTCTAAAAATTTCATTTTCCTACTTATATTAATTAATACTGATATGAATTGTTATGCAAACCTGTTATGAAAACGCTTATTACAATTACAATTTGTTCCCCTTTGCCAGCCAACAGAGAGAGCTCTGCAAAGAAGGTGGCAAGTATTGCAGCACATAACGTTCCCAATCCGCGGTTGAATCCTTTAATAAAGGTTGCTCCTGCATTGCACAACAAAATGGTCAATAATTAAGCTATATATATATATAAGCTACGAACAAAAACATATATACAAGAATTTTGTAATTTTCTTTTCTTTTCTTAGTGACTGAAATGGAGTACTACCAATGCTGAATTTAAACATGACAAGCACTGCAAAATGGCCAATAATTAAGCTATATATATATATATATATATATATATAAAAGCTAGGAACAAAAACATAAATGCAAGAATTTGTAATTTTCTTTTCTTTTCTTAGTGAAGGAAATAGAGGACTACGTACCAATGCTGAATTCAAACATGACAACCACCGTGAGAATTGCCCAGATGGAGTACTGGTTAATATCGGGCGATAATTCTTTGCAGAAGATGAGCATGGACACAATGGACAATGCCACTCCCATCTTAATGGCGAAAATGAATTTCCGGGGATCAGAGCGTCCCATTTCCCACACTTTCCTCGAAAATTCTTGCAGATCATACCGCAACTCTGTAATTTTACCTTGCATTGACTTGAAGCTGCACATGCATCCACTCCTTCCATTTTCATTTTCATTTTCATTTTCTAGGCTCCCAAACACTAGTAGCCTTTCCTTACTATTGTCTGCAGAATTCTTCTCCAAATGTTCAATTTTTGTAGCCATTTTAATTTGCAGAGAAAAACAGAGCTTCACATAACCAACCAAAAGCTCCTATAAACTGAAGTAATTAAAGCTCACAAGGTATCTTTGCCAACCGTGCGGGCATTTTATTTTCTTTCTTTGTTTTGGCGTTGTGATTTCTAAATTGAAGTGCTCTATTTTGTTGTAACCTTGTAATGACCTACTCCACCACATGGTATGATATTGTCCGTTTTGAGCCTGAACCCGCACAGATTTGTTCTTGAACTTTTATTCCAAAAGGTCTCATACCAATTGGAGTGATACACCTTCGTATAAACACTTCACCTTTTCTTTTCCCAGGAGATGTGGGATTGTGTACCTATAGCTCGCCAGTGTAATAGCCTGTCAGTGTCTCGCACTCGCCCACGGTACACCTACCCACAGGGTCCTCACAATCCACCCCCTTGGAGACCCGACGTCCCCATCGACACACTTCCGGCTGGGTCAAATTCTGATACCATTTGTAACGACTCACTCTACCATATGGTATTATATTGTCCGCTTTGGACCTGAGCTCGTACGAATTTGTTCTTGGACTTTTACCCAAAAAGGTCTCATACTAATTAGAGTAACACATCTACATATAAGCACTTCACCTTTCCCTTTCCATTTCCCTTTCTCAGGCGATGTGAAATTGTGCACCCATAACTCACCAGTGTGGTAGTCTGTCAGAGTCTCGTACCCATCCACGGCACACCCGCCCACAAGGTCATCGCAAACCTACTATTCCACGCAAGAAAAACTAATGAATTAAGCTTTTGCCAAGCCCAATGAAAAAAAAAAAAAAAAAAAAAAGACCCTTGCAGTGAGCCCGGATACAAGAATATATATATATCCAATCACTTTCTCATTTGAATCAAATGCTTATAATACTCCTTATAACAACATTCATACACAACAGTTATACATTCCTTATTTTCCTAGAGTGGATAGGGTACAGATACTATAATGTGCTAGTATTCTTTTATTTTAGAGTGACTTGGAGGGAATATATATATATATATATATATATATATATATATATATATATAACTCTAAATTATTCCATTTTTTATTCTCTTTTTTAACTTTATTTATTCTGTTTTAAATATTCACTTGCAAGTTTTTGTAGGGTTCTTATTCCATGTTTTAAAGTCACTTGATTCGTGACAGTTTTATGGGATCCCTGAATATATGCCGGAAAAAAAAATATATGTCAAGCCGAGAAATAGTGGTGAGGCCCATCCCTCCATCTCGGTTATCGCTCTACTCTTTCAAGTCAAATCCCACTATTAAATTTAAAGATCACACGGTATTAATGAAAACGAAGCTGTTGATACTTGTTTGAATCTTCCTTTCAGGAATTAATGAAGTCATGTATATCATCTTCCATTAGTAAATAAAATTGCCTCCTCTAGAGTAACCTACTCACGAGCTGATCTTTTCATTTAGATGTGAAAATGAAAAACAAAGTTGTTGAAGCTTGTTTATTTAATCCTTTTGGGAATTAGGTCATTGCTATGCCATCTTCTACAATGAAATTGCTTCATCTAGAAATAAACCTACTCATTAGTTACTGGTGTGTAATGTTTGCAATATTGTTATTGCTGTCGTAAATTTTTTTTTTTTTTTTTAATAATACACATAGTGCTCAAATTGCAATGGTATATAGTGCCAATATACTATACATACTAAGATTAAAATGTTTTAAAAAATTATACATCTCTAAAAATTTCTTAATTTTAGCATGGTCCCAATTAAAAATTTTCTGGCTCCGCCGTGATCTCTGCTTCCCCTCTTAACTTTTACCTAAGTCATTGAGAGGGAATATATATATATATATATATATATATATATATATATGAGGAAGTTTCATCCCCATTGCCAAGCCAAAAAAATATATACATGAGGAAGTTTCATCTTTCACAGTGAAATGTAATTGTCAGTACTAATGTTACAGATTTGTCAATTTGTTTTGACTTCTAGTGATGTCCAAATCTCATATTGTAATGCAATTCCTCTATTACACGGAAATTTCCGCCAACTATACAAATTTTACTTTTTGTCTCCAAGCTCACACAGCATGATGGACAAAGAATCTTAATGCAGAGATCACGACTTTATGATGTTCCGTCCCAATATGATACTTTTACACTTTTTCCACGTGGACAAATATTTATAAGAGCATCCGCATATAGGTGTTTGGGATAATGGCCGAGATCTGTGGCTATTATTCACGCTTGTGGGCCCCACTTGATAAGTTACACTCCAAGTCACGCGATACTTTTTCGGAGCTCCTATCGCGCTCCAGCTCTCATGTTTTTACAAAGAAAAACCGACGGTGTGGTAAAAATGTAAAATATTTATTGTATATGTTTTTTTACAGTGTATTGTATCTATTTATTAAGAGTTATAATTTTATTAATTAATTAAAAAAGAGTTATTTAATTTGCATAAGTATATAATTAATTAATTAATTAATTAATTTTTTAAGAAAAAGAATCATAGTTTTGACTTTAACAATTTTATTTATTACATAATAATATTAAAAATTACATTTTATTCGATTAGACCAAATTGAAACATTTTTATCACCAAATTGGTTCCACAAATGTTTCATCAGATGTCTCATGAGATCAGTATTGTCCGCTCTCTTGGAAATTCTTCTAAAGCCAAGCAAATAATTATAGCCGTTAGCAATATAGTTGTTGAAAATAATGATTCGAAAAAAAAAAAAACATTTTTAAAAAATATATTTTATTTTTAATAAAGAAATTTTAAAAATTAATGGAGGATGATTGCTCTGGTTCAGGAGGAAGAATTAGAGTTTTTTTTTTTTTTTTTTTTTGTTTTTTACTTCAAAACACATTAAAAAATCTATAAATATTGCACTTGCTTATCAATTAGTTATGTTGTTTTTTACTTCAAAATACTTTCTTTTTTTTTTTTTTTTTTTTAACGAAAAGAATTAACATTAGACGGAAAACAGAATACATTCTGAAGTGCAAGCTTTTAACAACCACTCAGATCATATGCTCCACTCGAAATTACAACATTTGACTTCTGTAGACACTAAAAATTTAATAGACTTTGGTGTTGACAAATTGACCCATTCAATATAGGTTTAATGTTTAATTAAATTGTTTAATAGGCCCAAGCTTGGTCCACTTAAATTATTTAATTAGCCCAGCCCAGATGATTAAATGGAAAGATAATTATTCCTAATAAAATATATTTGGAATAATTATTTTTAAAGATAATTATCACAATATAACCGGCCCTGCCCAGTTATAATTTTATCCTTATCAGGAGATGACACGTGCCATCATCCTATTAATCCAAGAAGCCTATAAATAGAGGCCTGGAGGAAGAAAAAAGGGGACACAAAGTCAGAATTCAGAAATCTAGAATTTCAGAGAGAAATACAGAAACTTTCATCCCTAATAACCAAACCCAAAGGCGAAGAACACCAAGCACATCAAATTGTGCCGTTCTTCATCAAATTCCACGGCGATCAACAACAAGCACAGCCAAAGACGTGCCGTTCTTCATCAAATTCCACGATGATCCAAGATCAAGCCTATGCAGCCCTTGGATCCAACCAACTAACAAAAAAAAAGGAGATTTAATCAGAGGACCAGTTCTTTCTTTTGTAAAGAATATTACAAAGGATTGTACCTCAATTTCTCAAATTAATAAAATTATATTATTTGCTCCATATTTTGTTTCTATTGCAGACCTACAAAATTTGTGTGTATAAATTTCTGGCACGCCCGGTGGGACCTCCTTTGCCTTTCATCTCTTTCTCCTATCAGCAAGTTTCTTCTCTATCCGACTCTATGGCTCCCCCTAAGACTCCGACAGAGAAGAAAGCCCAAAAGAACATCGTTACCACAAAGGTCGACGCCAAAGCCACCATGAAAAGTGGCACGAAGGCCAAATCAAGTGATGGAAGTTCCTTGGCGGGCCCTATGACACGTAGCAAGTCCCAGGCGGTGGCTTCATCCAAACATCAACAAGACTTGGTGTAAACCACTCCTATAAAGCCAGCAAATGTGAAAATCCAACATGGCAAGAACCTTGACGTTGTTTCAGAGGAGATTATGCCACCAAATTCACCTCCTTCCATTCATGATGCTCGCTCTAGTGTCGGTTCACCCTCAGAGTCACCACGTCAGACTTCAGAGTATTCAATCACTTCACGAAATGTTGACTCTCAAGGCCTATCATACTTAGATGTGGTCGTTGCTATGATGACTGGAGCAGCCACGGTGAGGAACAACTAGCAACTATGTCTCGTGCCATTGAGAACCTCACAAAGACCGTTGAAGAGAAGGACTTACAAATCGCTACGCTGATGAACAAATTGGAAGTTCAGACCTTCACTGAATCACCAGTACAATCTGGGCATCCTGCATCTTCCACACCAACGCCAACTGGGAATCGTGCAACTTTCACACCACCACCATCTAGGAATCCTACAGCTTCTACAGCAATGTCAACGGAGAATCCTAATTCTACCGCACAAGGTACTCGCATGGAGGACCCCAAACAGACGCTGGTGATAGAACAGGCGGCTAGTCAAAACCAGACGCCGGTGACAGAACAGGCAGCTAGTCAAACCACTCATGCTTCTTCAGTTTCTTCATTATCTGTCGCACAATTGCAAGATATGATAACGAACATAATCCGAGCCCAATACGGAGGCATTTTACAGAGCACTCTCATGTACTCAAAGCCTTATACAAGGAGAATCGACAGTATGAGGATGCATGTAGGATACCAACCTCCGAAGATTCAGCAATTTGACGGAAAAGGTAACCCCAAGCAATACATTGCCCATTTTGTTGAGACTTGCAACAATGTCGGAACAGAGGGGGACTTCCTCGTTAAATAGTTTGTCCACTCCCTTAAAGGAAACGCGTTCGAGTGGTACACCGACCTAAAGTCAGAGTCAATTGACAGTTGGAACCAAATGGAACGAGAATTCTTGAACAGGTTCTATAGCACTCGTTGTACTGTTAGTATGATAGAATTGACTAACACGAAGCGATGGAAGGATGAGCCTGTAATCGACTACATTAATCGGTGGAGAGCACTCAGTCTTGATTGCAAGG